ACGCAAACTATGGTAAACAAGTATTTACCGACGACATGCCGCACGGTACGGTAATCAGCAAGTATTAAACATTGATTAATTAACATATATAACATTCCCCGGAGGGGATGAAAGGGGTTACAAAACACATGCACGTTGGTGTTGGCTGCCTTATTACGGTGTAACATCAGGGAGCTGGTAACATTAACGCCATCTTAAAGTTGTAAGGCTTCGTCCGCAACTATGCTCATTAGCATAGGCGGCAGCTTTAAAGCGAGTAGAGCGTGAAGTACGTTTCACACAATGTTACGTTCTTTTTTTTCATTAGCAAGTATAATATGTTATGACAAATAAAGCATGTAGCGGGTAAAACTGTTTCTTGGCAATCAATATCGTTTTATTAAGAATATTAAGAGAAAAACAAAACATAAAGCTATGTGAATGGATTGAAACTACTGCTGAAGATAGAAAACTAAAACGGCAGCGTCAACGGAAAATTAGATGGATGCACGCTCTCTGCATAAACGGAAACGATGGCTTTGTTTATTTGGCCGATGTCGACGAGCAACAGATATCCTGTACTCACTTCCTCGTCTGACCACCGACCCTCAACTGTCTAGAGTATCGGTGTTGTCATCGGTTAAGTCACGGTTACTAAAAAAAGTAATCGTGGTTAAGTAGTTGAAACTTTTTCGCGTTGATGCCAATATTTCAGCTTAATCATCCCTTTCGAACCACTCGCGAGGTTGGTCATGATGTGACCTAGATGAAATATTCTTGAAAAATAAATATAAATTGCGTAAACAAGGGGTGAACGCGAAAGTCCTGTAATTTTATATCGGAATCACATCAGGCTGTAGGCAAGTCTAAATTAGTAAATATGACCCTTAGTTGCAGATTTGTCTTTGCCTCGTCTGTCATTGGCGTCTTTGCTTTCTTTCTTTACATCATCATTGTGTTAGTAAGATGGTGTTATTAAAATAGAATATAGACTTAGAAAATAAAACGATTTCTCAGACGAAGTCCTGACTGATAATAATGCTGACAATGGACGTTAGATTAATATGCATTGTTTGCGACAGGAAGCTTGTCACTCGTTCTATCAGAATCGTCAACAACAGAGTATTACCGGTAGTCACAGTCCCTCTGTGCGGTAGTACAATGTATACATGTTCATGTTAGAAACATTATGCAAATATTAATGAAATGGTAGTAGTGTTAGCGCTTGAGCACTGGTCTTTCCGAAATACCAAAAAGCTGGGATGATGAATCAAGGTACAAAGTAACCGTTTTATCAATTATTGAAAAATCAAGACAAAAAAAAAGAATATTTCCCTTCCCGCTACATTAAGATCAATATGGACCACCTAAATTTGGCGTTCATTTAAAAAAATAAACCATAAATTAAACCGAAAATTATGATACAAAAATAATTCTATTCATACCACAAACCAACGTCGTTTTTGTTTACTTTTCACAACTATTACAAAGTTTTCATTTCTGGTTAAAATACTAGCTAATTGATTGTAGACCATAAGTTTGGAGTCCGTTTATGATCTAAACGAAGGCAGACGATTGCAAACAACTGCTGTCATGGCAAAACGTTGCACATCGTGAATGATTTTTTTTTCACTGCATGCAAATTATTTTCCTTGATGCACTCAACAAAGTCAAAGCAGACGTACAACATTCATTGCAGAACGCGTGAAAAGTACTTCGCGTTCCACTCGCTTTAAAGCTGTCGCCTATGCTAATGAGCATAGTCGTTAGGACGAAGCCTTACAACTCCAAGATGGCGATAACGTTACACCATAAATAGGCAGTCAAAACCAACATGCACGTTACACTATTTAATTTTTCTAGCCAGCGGTGTGATGTGTCTAATCACCGTAATCCATGTGTCATTTGTTTGGTCCCACAATTTGTCTTCCATGTGCTTGCCGATCACCGAACAGTGCGGCATGTCGCCGGTAGACACTTTTTTTACTGTACCATTTTTACCATTTAAAACTTAATTTTTTATAAGGCATGCGGTGAACATCGACCATTGGGATTTGCGCTGTTCGACCAACCAATCAACCAACCAATTGGAATCGTGCTCTTCGCAGAGTGACACTGCGATTCTGTCACAGAGTGCAATAATCGAAATTCGGAGAGCCACACAATCGCGTCACAGAGTCAGTTTTTGGACCCCATACATACATGGATTGAAAGCAGCAATGCCTCAACCATTGGAACATGTAGCAAACAACACACCCAAATATGGGCTCACGAATTTTACAGAATAAGCAACGAACACAAGCCATTTGTCATCCGAAAACGCATAGTGTCATACTGATCACCAATATATTTTTGACGTAGTGAATACATTTGTATGGTTACTGAATGTGTAATTGTCCATACTGATGTTAAGTAAAATAAGAGAGAATAAAATTTCCAAAAAATTATTTGTGAGAAGTGTGTCTAATTACATGTATGTAAAAGGCAAGTAACTTCTTAATAAAATTGCATTACAGAACAAAAGTGCTGCTGCTCGAGGAAAGATTCCAAAAGGAGAGTTTGTTATTGAGATGAGAGGCATACCTTTCTACTGTAGTGAGGTGATTATAAATTAGTTTTGTCATACTTTGATATCACATGATACAAATGGGGCATTCTGATTGGCCTGAATATTTAATCTCAATACTGTATTCACTCTATTAGGAGCGCATCTCTAATAGAAGTACACATAAGACAAAAATTGCATTACCAGTATACTGGATGATTAGAATTTTGAAAAAAAAGACACACCTCTGTAATTTATATAATGTGCTTCTAATAGAGCAAATACAGTACACATTTCTATAACTCGTGATCTCTGGCTTCTGTGACATTGCAATGTCGTTTGATGTGACATTGCATTGTCATTTAATGTGACATTCTATTGTCATTGGATGTGACATTGCAGTGTCATTTGATGTGACATTGCAGTGTCTTGATGTGACATTGCAGTGTCATTTGATGTGACATTGCACTGTCTTTTGATGTGACATTGCACTGTCTTTTGATGTGACATTGCAATGTCGTTTGATGTGACATTGCATTGTCATTTAATGTGACATTCTATTGTCATTTGATGTGACATTGCAATGTCGTTTGATGTGACATTGCACTGTCTTTTGATGTGACATTGCAGTGTCTTTTGATGTGACATTGCAGTGTCATTTGATGTGACATTGCATTGTCTTTTGATGTGACATTGCAGTGTCATTTGATGTGACATTGCATTGTCGTTTGATGTGACATTGCATTCTCGTTTAATGTGACATTGCATTGTCGTTTGATGTGACATTGCATTGTTGTTTGATGTGACATTGCATTGTCATTTGATGTGACATTGCATTGTCGTTTGATGTGACATTGCATTGCTGTTTGATGTGACATTGCATTGCTGTTTGATGTGACATTGCAATGTCGTTTGATGTGACATTGCAATGTTGTTTGATGTGACATTGCACTGTCTTTTGATGTGACATTGCAGTGTCATTTGATGTGACATTGCAGTGTCATTTGATGTGACATTGCAGTGTCATTTGATGTGACATTGTAGTGTCATTTGATGTGACATTGCAATGTCGTTTGATGTGACATTGCAATGTCGTTTGATGTGACATTGCACTGTCGTTTGATGTGACATTGCACTGTCTTTTGATGTGACATTGCAGTGTCTTTTGATGTGACATTGCATTGTCGTTTGATGTGACATTGCATTGTTGTTTGATGTGACATTGCATTGTCATTTGATGTGACATTGCATTCTCGTTTGATGTGACATTGCAATATCTTTTGATGTGACATTGCAATGTCTTTTGATGTGACATTGCAGTGTCATTTGATGTGACATTGCATTGCTGTTTGATGTGAAATTGCATTCTTGTTTGATGTGACATTGTATTACGTTTGATGTGACATTGCATTGTCGTTTGATGTGACATTGCATTGTCATTTGATGTGACATTGCAGTGTTGTTTGATGTGACATTGCATTCTCGTTTGATGTGACATTGTAGTGTCGTTTGATGTGACATTGCATTCTCGTTTGATGTGACATTGCATTGTCGTTTGATGTGACATTGCATTGTCATTTGATGTGACATTGCAGTGTCGTTTGATGTGACATTGCATTGCTGTTTGATGTGACATTGCATTCTCGTTTGATGTGACATTGCATTCTCGTTTGATGTGACATTGCATTCTCGTTTGATGTGACATTGCATTCTCGTTTGATGTGACATTGCAATGTCGTTTGATGTGACATTGCATTGCTGTTTGATGTGACATTGCATTGCTGTTTGATGTGACATTGCAATGTCGTTTGATGTGACATTGCAATGTCATTTGATGTGACATTGCAGTGTTGTTTGATGTGACATTGCATTCTCGTTTGATGTGACATTGTAGTGTCGTTTGATGTGACATTGCATTCTCGTTTGATGTGACATTGCATTGTCGTTTGATGTGACATTGCATTGTCATTTGATGTGACATTGCAGTGTCGTTTGATGTGACATTGCATTGTCATTTGATGTGACATTGCAGTGTTGTTTGATGTGACATTGCATTCTCGTTTGATGTGACATTGTAGTGTCGTTTTATGTGACATTGCATTCTCGTTTGATGTGACATTGCATTGTCGTTTGATGTGACATTGCATTGTCATTTGATGTGACATTGCAGTGTCGTTTGATGTGACATTGCATTGCTGTTTGATGTGACATTGCATTCTCGTTTGATGTGACATTGCATTCTCGTTTGATGTGACATTGCATTCTCGTTTGATGTGACATTGCATTCTCGTTTGATGTGACATTGCAATGTCGTTTGATGTGACATTGCATTGCTGTTTGATGTGACATTGCATTCTCGTTTGATGTGACATTGCAATGTCGTTTGATGTGACATTGCATTCTCGTTTGATGTGACATTGCATTCTCGTTTGATGTGACATTGCATCCTCGTTTGATGTGACATTGCATTCTCGTTTGATGTGACATTGCATTCTCGTTTGATGTGACATTGCAATGTCGTTTGATGTGACATTGCATTGCTGTTTGATGTGACATTGCATTCTCGTTTGATGTGACATTGCATTCTCGTTTGATGTGACATTGCATTCTCGTTTGATGTGACATAGCATTCTCGTTTGATGTGACATTGCATTCTCGTTTGATGTGACATTGCATTCTTGTTTAATAAGTCAAATGTCTGTCACATACACTCATTCATAGTCGTACATTTGTGATAATTGTATGGTTTAGCCAAAATTGTTGCTGCTTTGCTTGCAGTTCCCACTGTGACCATTTAAAAATTTGCATAAAACTGACCAGTACAAAGTTAAATTTCCAAACAATTTTCAGCAGTGGTTCGTGTTGTTAATCTGTTAATCTAAAACGTGAGAAAGGTTACAAGTAATTATTAAAAAATAAGCTTAAAGCAGGGGAGTCGTTACCTGCGCATGTCTCAGATGGCCATCGCGTGTCGTTGTTTACAAACAAGAGTCTACCCATGAGTCCATGAGCGTTTTTAGCATGTGTTGTAATCATAGCTTGGGACTCAATTCCCGTGAATATTACATGAATATCGCAAGGCATTATTTTTATTTTATTTTACATGCTCATAAGGTTTTTTGAATTACCACGCATGGAAAGTAAAAAAATTAATAATAAAGCCTCCGTTGGGTGTTAAATGAACCTGATTATGTTGTTATGTTTCATTCACTGCTCAACATTGCTTGTTTACTAATAACTGTTTAATTACCACAGCTTGTAATTTTTTATATTGGATGATTTTATGACATTCGTGAAGACAAAATTTTGCAAAATCTGACGAAACAGTATTTTCACTATTGCAAAATTTCACGTTATTCCCGGAGTCACGAAATTTGCATAAATTTGCCTCTTGCAAAATTGAGTATTAACATTATTTCTAATATGAGTACGTAAATGCGTTCATTTCAATGTATACCATTGTACTGCAAATAGGTAATTTTCCATTCAACTGCGCGATCTCGCGAGATGCATGAAAGACGCGCGTCGAACGTCTGCCGCAAAAAACTAGCGATTTGATTTTGAACTTGAATTTCTTTATTTCATAGCTCGCATCGACCAGCCAATCTTCGACAGAGGAATATTGCTTTCGAATACCCTCACTTAATCGAAATTGTCTATCATCAAATGTGTACAGCACTTTATTAAGCATAGAAATGCCCCCCGAAATATTTTCTCATTTGTCGAATCCCAGGCGATGTTTGACGCCACTATGGCGCTATGACCTTTGTTTGTCCTGTTTTTACGTTCGATTTCACGCATAACGCGTGATTCTCGCAGTGAAAATGGTCTATAGTCACATATCTTCACCTAAAATTTGTGTTTATTTATTACAGAAAGAAATCAGTGAATTCTTCGCACCAATTGAGGTAGTGGCAATACACATAGTGAAAAATAAGAATGGTAAACAATTAGGTATGGTAATTATAATTAAGAATCTATAAGTATTCATAATTTTATGCACTCAATCCTGTGTAAACTGAAGAAACTGGAAACATTGTTTTGTTTACAGAGGTGTTCAGTTTATTGAGTGAGGTCTCATATACTAGCAAGTTTACAGTACAGGGGCTAGAAAATGGTGTTCGGTTTACAGAA